AGCCACACAACCTCAGACATTTCAGGGAAAGATAAACAGATTTGTGCATATTTTTGCAATCACTGGAATTTCCATTACTTTCAGCCAAACGTAATAAAAGGGACCGATACAAAGGAATTGAAACCAAGTAGATCCGCTTTAAGTAAATCTTGAACTTCTTTATAATAATCGATCAATGAAATTATTTTAATCAGTTTGAGTTCAGGGCTTATTTCTAAAGTGGTTGCTACATATCTTGAAAACATTCTAAGCTTTATCATCATACCTGACACATATGCTTTATCAGATCAATGAAAATGTACAAAAACAAATTCAAGTGGTTGTGCGAAGTTCTCATATGATGAATAAAAAGATAAAAATGAGAAATTAGGAACAATTTTCCAAGAAAATGGCACTTATGAATTCACTAAGGTCAATATTATGTTTTTTCTCTTTTATATTCTGTTATTCTGTAGAATGACTGAAAGATAGAAGGGACTGCATAAATGATGATAAAATAAATTGATTCCTGAATAACATATATAATAATGAGCTAAATGTACCTTATTACATTTTATGAGTATATTCAGACATTTACAGAAATGAAAAGAAGAAAACAAGAGAAAGGATAAAAGATAGCCCAGGGTGGCACTGGAGGGGAGAGGGAAGTGGAGTATGGTGGTGGAGAGAGCTGTAGTGGTGGTGGGAGAGAGATTTTAACTACCCCTGAGGGAACAAATCCTATCCTGTCAAAATATTGACAAGAGTATAAAGCAATGGTATTCATTAAACAAACAAATAACCAGCTAATGGGAAACAACAGCCCTGGACATTTTGTTTGAAATGTTTTTGACAGGTCACTCAACACTTTTGCAATAAAAGAAACAGAACCAAATAACAGATTAATTAGTTAGGTGAAGCTGCCCTCCCATTGGAAAGTCAAATATACTTGGAGACTTAGGTCTTCAGAGACCTTACTTAAAAAGATACCAAATATAAGAGCACCTTTCTCATGAGGGATCTATTATCCATTTCTAGAAAATAAACAAGTCATCTATTATAGTACTGTCTGCCTTTATCACTGGTTATTTCTTCAAGTAGAAAGATTTTATTCAGAGAATATCTTCTGGAAAATTCTGTAAAAGCCACTTAGAAGAATGGGCCAAAGACCCTGCAATTACAAGAGTATCTGTGTGTGAGCTTGCATTTTTAATATACATTCTTGAATATGTTACTATTTTGCAGAGAATTTGGATTTATCTATCTGTTTAACTGTATCTCTAGGTTTGTTTATATTTCTATGCGTTTTCACTTTCTGTGTTATTCATAATGATATATGTATGGATATGCAGCACACAATTTACTAGTGACCTTATATGAATCTAGAATCTTAAAATATTGGGCTATTTAAATATTATACTTTGCTTGTATTTAGAAATGCAGTATGTAGTGTGAACTTGTGGAATTTTATATATGGTTTTGGGATTTACATTTATATTATATATGGTTATAATATAAGGGGATGAATTTGTGAGGTTGTAAAATACAGAGATAGGCAACCAAAAAAGGTTTTGTCATCTCCTTCTAAAATAGTTTTAGTAACTAGAGATATCTTTGCACATTTGGGTAACAGAACTGCTTAAATTCCTACAAAAGCCTAAAAAAGACGAGTTTTGAAATTTCTTTTCCTTGAAAACAATGAAAGTTAGCTAATGACAAAATGGTAACGGAGAGAAACTCAAGGGAAATGGTAACTGACGAGAGTCAGAAAAGGAAACTAAGGTGAAAATTGGGCAAAGAGCGGACAAGCTGAGAGGAAAGGAAAAGAAAACACGTGGAAAGAGGAAAGAAAAAGAAATAGAAGCCCTCAAATGGGAGAAGAACAGGGAGACAATTCCTTTGACTTGGGGTTTTTTTATGTCTCAATACAAAACAAATTTTGACTGAGCAGGAAAAAAAATCTGCTGGGAGAGAAACTCTGTCCTCTGTCACGTGGGAAGAAGGTCTGGGAAATGGCGAGAAGAAAAAGGGAGGCTAGAATGATGTACTCCGGCCCGCGGAGAGAAACTAAACGCGGAACTGAGCGTGCACTGCAGAAGTAGGTGCTCACAGCAAGAGATCAGGTGAGGGAACTACGCCAGAAGTTCAGTCAGGACTCATGGCGCCTCAAGGCCAGGCGGCAGTAGGAGAGAATTTCCATGACAGAATCGCATTCCACGTCGTGGGGATCTTCTACAGAAACGTGCCGTCTCCGCCCACCTAACAGTTCCATAACTGTGGCTCTCTCAGCGTTTTCTTTCATCCTTCTGTCAGCAGGGATGTAAGCAGGATGAACACAAACATCTCTGTGGTGACTGATTTCATTCTGGTAGGTTTCTCCCACCTGGCTCACCTCCAGGGCCTGCTCTTCTCTGTCTTTCTCACTGTCTACTTGCTCACGGTGACGGGGAACCTTCTCATCGTGACTCTGGTTTCAGTGGACGCTGCCCTCCAGTCCCCCATGTACTTCTTCCTTCGGATTCTCTCAGCCCTGGAGATCTGTTACACGTCTGTCACGGTCCCCCTGCTGCTGCACCACCTCCTCACAGGTCAGCGCCACATCGCTCGCTCTGGCTGTGCTCTCCAAATGTTCTTCTTTCTATTTTTTGGCGCCACAGAGTGTTGCCTCCTGGCCGCCATGGCTTATGACCGTTATGCGGCCATCTGTGAACCACTTCGCTACCCGCTGCTGCTGAACCGTAGGATGTGCTTACAGCTAGCTGGGTCAGCGTGGGCCTGTGGTGCTCTGGTGGGGCTGGGTCACACCTCCTTCATCTTCTCCTTGCCCTTCTGTGGTCCCAATGCCATCCCACACTTCTTCTGTGAGATCCAACCCATCCTGCAGTTAGTATGCGGAGACACTTCACTCAATGAACTGCAAATTATCTTGGCAGCGGCCCTCATCATCCTCTGCCCCTTTGGCCTTATCCTGGGCTCATATGGGCATATTCTGGCTACCATATACAGGATTCCATCCCGTTCAGGTCGCCGCAAGGCCTTCTCCACGTGCTCCTCGCACCTGATTGTGGTCTCCCTCTTCTACGGCACTGCCATCTTTATCTACATCCGCCCTAAGGCCAGCTATGATCCAGCCACTGACCCGTTGCTATCTCTTTTCTATGCTGTGGTCACCCCCATCCTCAATCCCATTATCTACAGTCTTCGGAATGCTGATGTCAAAGCTGCTTTAAAAAGGACCATTCAAAGAATAAGGCCGGTAGACATTTGACTAGGGATGATGATAATAATGCCACTCCCAGTCAACTCCAAACCTTCAAAAAGAAAAGGCTTAGCCCTGACCTTGGGAGAGGGCCAGTCTGTCAGGAAGACAGATTTACTTAGCAAGTAAGAATTACTGGAGCTAAGCTCCCTATTCACACAGCCCACCCCCACCAGCTACAGTCTATTGTACCTTCTATTGTAAGAAACTAGAAACTCACATGAAGGATCATATCTAAGGAGCAGAGCAAGTTGACAAGTAAGGAGAAGTCACAAAATATTATTCATATCAGACGATCAAGTAATATTTCCAGGTACACTGATGACACTTAAAGTAATTTAGCATTTGTAATCTTGCTCTAAGGAGCAGAGCAAGTTGACAAGTAAGGAGAAGTCACAAAATATTATTCATATCAGACGATCAAGTAATATTTCCAGGTACACTGATGACACTTAAAGTAATTTAGCATTTGTAATCCAAAGTAAAGCATTTTTTTTCTGGGTAGCACTGCTGGTTAATAGATTACCACAATAATTATACCTAATTAAACCGATTACCAGGTAAAGAGCAAAATTCTTAAGAAGTGAGGAGGGGGGTTACATCAGTTTCAGTGGTGGTGGGTTCTCAAGGAATCAGTGTGACATGGGGATTAAGAGAATAGATTTTAATACCAAACTTAAACTCAAGTCTTCTGACTGGCTGTGAAGAATGATGTAATCTTTTAATTTCCTTATAATAAAATTAGGATAATAACAAACTTTATTTTTGGGGGGCTTCATGAGAACTTATAGACTTGTAAGCCACCAAATTTAATGTCTAGCAAAAATAATGTCTCAATAAATGCTTTTTTAGAGAGAGAGACAGGTAATATGGAAGATAATATCCACCCCACATTGGGTGATTTTGTGGGAGAGAAGGGTATTCTGGGAATGTCAATTGCACTGCTAACCCAAAGCAAAAAGAAGTAGGAAATTACACTCACCACTGCAGCAGAAAGCTGCCCCTGCACAGAGACAAAGACACCCAGACACTAGAGCAAACATAACGACAAAGCACGAGTGTCAAAAATATGCAAAAAAAAAAAAAAGAAATGAGCTCACATAATTTAAAAAGATGTCTCAGAGGAATGCACATATAATGCACATTCTTTTAAAAAATTCCAATGCTTTATTCAATTTTGCAATCATTTATGGAAAGCCTTCTGGGGCCCTGTGATGAATACCAAGTAACCACAGGGTTTGATTTGCCCAGATGGTACTTATACCTGGTTGGGGAGACAAGACTGATTCTCACAAAACTCAGAGAGCAGTGCAATGTAGGGAAATACTCAAAACAAAAGGTAATCAATGGTCACATGCTTCCCATCTGCCATCAGACCACCCAGAGGGGTGGTCTGGCTTTCTCTGGAGTCACACGAATTGTCTGGGTCCTTGATTTTCAAGAGGAGCTCAACCCAGTTTAAATATATTCCTATAACCTATATACATATAAATGAGTAAAATCTCAAAACTACTGTTCCTTCTGTTCCTTAGTACTTATAAAGACCTCATATTGAGGGAAGACCTCAAATTGAAAGGACATTAGGGAAGGATTGCCTGAAGGATTGATAAAATAGATTTTGCAGACTAAAGCAGACCAGCAAGGACCTGCACACATAAATGCATTGTTTTCTACCTCCCACCTTTACACACCCCACAAAAGCCTTCATAGAGCTGTTCTTGATAAATATTGTTTTGACGTTCTACCATGGTTTACATTGAGGAGGATTATAAGAAACGTTATGAAACTCTGAGGAAAAATTTCATGTTTCAATGCTGGGAATAAATATACTTTTATCATATAAACAATAACTTTTTTCTGAAAGTTCTTTGTAGATATAATTGACATAATAAATTGCATATATTTTAATGTAAAATTTAATAGGCTTTGTTATTTGTATACACCCAAGAAATCATAACCAGTCATGATCTGGATATTTTTGATTTAAAATTTCCTCATATTCCATCACAATTTCTGCCTTTCACCTCTTCTATTCCCAAACAAACTTTGATCAAATTTCTGTGACTATAAATTAGCCTTTTCTAGAGGATTATATAAATGGAGTAATAAAGTATGTGCTTTTTGTAGTCTGATTTCTTTTACTTTTAAAAAAGATTTATTTATTTGTGCATACAGAACTGGGGTACAGGCCAGAGGTGCAAGGGCAGTGAGAGGATTCACCAGAGACAGAGTGGGGAGCAGAACGGGCAGACAGAGGAAGTACACTGCTGAGGGGAGCAGTGGGCGGGTCAGGGGCTGCTGCGCCATGTGGATCACTTCCTGGGTGGGGATCGAACATATGCTGAAGTGGCTTTAACTTCTTAGTGCTGCGCTTTAACCCGCTGCGCCACCAGGGAGGGCCTCTTTCGCTTTATTTTTATTGAGGTAACATTGGTTTACAACGCGGTATGTTAGTCCCAGTCACGGGAAAGTATATCACCGCCAAGATGAACGTCACCATCCCGCTCACGCTGGGGCAAGGTTCGGACTGCACCGTCACTCATGGGTTCCTTCCCTGCTTTGTTTTCCTTCTCTCCTTCCTGGTTTTTAGTTTCAGTTCTACAACCTGATTTCTGGGGTTTCTTTTTAGTTTGGTTTTGACCAACCCATTTAAAAAAGTTCTCCATAGTCTACTTATAAGTGAAACCATCTTATTTTTGCATTTCTTCTTCTGACTTATTTTGCTTAACATTATTCCCTCAGATTTTATCCGTATGTTGCAAATGGCAACAGTTCATTTTTCTTATAGTTGAATGATATCCCACTGTGTGTATGCATATGTGAGTGTGTATATGTGAGTGTGTATATATGAGTGTGTATATGTGAGTGTGTATATGTGAGTGTGTATGTGTGTATGTGAATGTGTGTGGATCATGGTTCCCATAACTTGACTCTTGTAAACAGTGCTGCAGTGGACATGGGAATGCAAGTTTCCTTCTGAATTAGATATTTTGGTGTTCAAATAGATACTTAGGAGTAGAATTGCTACATTATATAGTGGATCTATTTCTAATAGTTCAGAAAACTCCATGCTATTTTCTATAGGGGATAAACTAGAACAGTGAACAAGGGATTACTTTTCTCCACACCCTTATCAGCACTTGTAATTTCTGCTTTTTAAATTTAATTAATTTTATTTGCGAATATTTTTACATCATTATTTTTGTACACTCTATGCTTTCTCTTCTAAGGTGTAGTCCCCTTAAAATTCTTACTATTAATTAACTTGTGAATCATCACCAGAGTCCCTTGTGCTTTCCCCTTCCCTGTTTTGATCATTCTCTTTCCCCCTGCCCTGTTTGTTAATTTTGTTTTTAATTTATTAATTTTTTTTTCTGGATCCCTTATTTGGTTCCTCTATATTCTGCCTATAAGTGAAACCATTTGGTATTTTTCTTTTTCCTTCTGACTTATTTCACTTAGCATAATCTCTTCCAGTTCCATCAATGTTGCTGTGAAGGGCATGAGCTTATCTTTTTTGATTGCTGAGTAGTATTCCATTGTGTAGATATCCCACATCTTCTTGTTCTAGTCATCTAATTTGGGCTATTTCAATGTCTTACCTATTTTAAATAGTACTGCAGTAATCATATGAATGCAAGTATCCTTTTGAAGTAATGTTTTTGTGTTTTTTTTATGTATGGAATTGCCAGGTCATCTGGAAGCTCCATTTTCAGTAGCATGAGGAAACTCCACACAGTTTTCCATTGTGTTTGAACCAATCTGCATTCCCACCAGCAGTGGAAGAGAGTTCCTTTTATTCTACATTCTCAACAACATTTGTTGTTGCTAGCTTTTTAAATATGTTTAACACTTGGCTGGTGTGAGGTGGTATCTCATTGTGGTTTCGATTTGCATCTCCCTGTTTATAAGTAATGTTGAACACTTTTTCATTTGCCTTTTGGCCATTTGCATTTCCTCTTTGGAGAAGTGTCTTTTGAGCTTTTCAGTTTATTTTGTTTTTGTTGAGTTACTGAGTTCTTTGTGATCACTTCCTTATCAGCTGAATGGAATGCAAAACATTTCTCCCAGCTGGTGGGGTGTCTCTTTGTTTTGGTTAGTGTCTCTTTTGCCGCATAGCAGCCTTTTGGTTTGATGTAATACGAGCTGTTCATCTTTTCCTTCATTTCTTTGCTTTGGGGGATGTCACTAAGATGTATGTCATGTAGTGTTTTTTTTTTTTAAAGATTTATTTATGTATGCATAAGGATTGGGGTACTGGCCATAGGTATAGAGGTGGTGAGAAGATTCACCAGAGACAGAGTGGGGAGCAGACCAGGCAGATAATCTGCTGAGGGGAGCAGTGGGCAAGACAGGAGAGGTCTGCTGTATCATGTGGATCATAACCAATGGAGCCAACTTGCACTAAAGCATGTGTGGCTAGCTTGCAGTGCTGCTTCCTAACCCATTGCACCACCAGGGAGGGTCCTCATGTAGTGTATTACCAATATTTTATTCTAAATATTCTATGGCTTTAGGTCTTATGTTCAATTTTTTATTCATTATGAGTTGACTTTTGTGAATGGTGTGAGGTAGCTAGCTACCTCCTTTGCAAGTCTAGCTTCATTCCTTTGCACTTGGTGGTTCAGTTTTCCAGGCACCATTTATCCAGCAAACTGTCCTTGTTCCATTGAATATTCTTTGCTCCTTTATCAAAGATTTTCTCTCTGTCTATATATATATATGCTTTTCTTTTTGGGTTTTCTACTCTATTTCACTTTTTTCTTTGTTTTTGTTCCAGTCCCATACTGTTTAAATTACTATGGCTTGATAGTAATAGTCTGAGGTCTGGCACTGTGATGGCCCCTTTCTTCTTTTTCGTTGGGAGAGCTTTGGTATTAAGTTTTTTTTGTGGCTTCATATGAATTTCATTAATATTTGTTCTATTTCTTTGAAGAATGTCATTTAGAATTTTATGGGAATTGCACTGAATTGGTAAATTGTTTTCAGTACAATGACCATTTTAATAA